TGGTGGTGGTGGTGGTGGTGATGCCAAACACTTGGCTACAGCTGCTGCCACTGACGCACTCCTTCTTCACCGGCAATTAGCACAGCAGAGCACACGATTGCCTCACACAGCGCAGACAGAACAGATGTGTCAACACAAGCAATGAGGTAGTGAGTGTGATACCCACAGCTTGTCAGTGATGCACGTGGTAGTGGTAATGCTGATGAGGATGATGATTTAGTGCTCAGGTAAAGGTGAGCAGAAATGCTGCCAGAAACCGGCGACCGAAAGGCGAGACACTGGTGGTGCCGGTGCTATGCTGATGACAATGGCAAGACACACACACACACAGAGTGGACAGTGGTCAGCAGACAAAGACAGAATTTGGTGGTGGTGGTGGTGGACACTGTCTCAGGTGGTGGTCAGCAGACAGACAGAATAGAGCACACCTGTCTCAGACGCTGTCCAACGATGATGATGATGATGATGACTGTCCCAGCGGACCAGAGAGCTAGGGCCAGGCTGTAGCCAAAGAAGAAGAAGAATGTTGTTGAGAAAGTGCGCGCTTGTGTGGTAGCAGCAGCAGCAGCAGCTTCTCAGCGGCTTTGTGTTTGAGCACTGGCACCACCAGCACATTGACTGCACAGGCTGTGGTTGAGTGCAGTGGTAGCTCTCTTCAGTGCTTCTGCTGCTGCTTCAGCTTGGAGGGGTCGATTCTGAAGTGGCTGGAAAGTGGCAGTAGCAGCAGCAGAGGTGTACTTTGTCTGCCATGGCGCCAGACGGCTGCCAGTCTAAGTGTGAGAAAAGAAAAGAAAGAGAGAGGTAATTAGATAAAGTCAGAAAGGTGAACACCTCGTGACCTGACCTGCTGAGGAGGAGAAGAAGAAGAAGAAGAAAGAGGATGAGTGCTGAAGAATAGGAAAAAGGTGCATATGATCATCTCGGTGTTGTTGTTGTTTTCATCTATTGTTGCAGGTCTTCAGTGATGTGCAAAATGCCCTCCATTGTCCGCCTCAGTGTTCAACGTGTTCTATATTTGCAATGTAGATTAGAGACAGTCTTCTTCAATTGAAATACCTCAGAAAAAGAAGAAGATGATGATGATGATGAAGTGCGGAAGCGAGAAAAGACAATGAGCAGTGCAAATGAGTGCACAGCGGGGAGAACAAAAGTTGAAATTGAGAAGAAGGGGTCATCGGAGGAAGCTTTGTTTGGGCATTTGAAAGGAGAGAGAGAGAAGAAAGAGAAAAAAGAAAGAGAAAGCCTTCCCTGGAGCAAACCTTGACTTCGAATTGACAGGCGGCGGCGCCGAGAGTGGACTACTTTCTCTTCAGATGCAAATTTTGATGAAGCAGCAGTGGCTATAAAGGCAATCGCCGCCGTCGTCCGACGATCAGTTCGACGAGTTCAAAACCACAACACAGACCACCACCACAAAATGAAGTTCTTCATCCTCCTCGCTCTTTTTGCTTCCGCCGCGACGGCCATTCCTTATGGTGGCCTGGTGAACACTGGCCAGTCGGCGGTCTCCAGATCACAGGATGTACGTTGATAATTTGTTGATGATGATAACCTCTCTTACTTCTTTCCAACAGTCTTACGGCAACTACAACTTCGGCTACAACGAGGACCACGCCACTGGCGGCACCTTCCGCAAGGAGAAGGGCGGCCCTGGAGTGCAGATTGGCTCCTATGGTCTTCGAGATGCTGATGGTCGAGTGCGAGTGGTCAACTACATTGCCGATGCCCTTGGCTTCCGTGCCTCGGTAAAGGAGTTTAGATGAAGTTGTTGATGAGGGAGGTTTCAATTTCGAAATGTTCACCATTTTCTAGGTCTCCACGAATGAGCCCGGCACTGACGTGAAGCAGGACCCCGCGGCGACCAACCTCAACTACGGCGGCGGTGGCTACATTCCCTCGGTGCCCGTTCATCTTCCGCTGGTGCAGCACGTTCAGGCGTACGCGCCCATTTCCTATTCAGTGGCCACCGTCCACCCGGCGCCCAGCTACGGCTACAGCAGCCACGTTGGTCACGGTCATGGGCTTTACTAGGCGAAGTGAACACCTTCTTGAGCTGTAAACATCATCATCCTCATCTTCATCATCTTCATCTTCTCCTCTTGATCATCACCATCATCTTCATCATCCCATGTTGTATCATCTCTTTTTTGCTTGTAGAAAATTTCATAATAAACACAGATTTTCTTGATTCTTGTTTCGGAGATTCTTTTTCTCTTGCGCAAACCCAAAATAGAACCGCCAAAAATGCTTTTCAGCTGTGGTGTCAATAGCCGGCTATTTCGGCAAGCGCCGGTCGGCAGAAACGATCACATGTTTTCATTTTCTGTTTTTGACCGCAACTTTTGTTTACTTCAACTTTGATTTTTTGAATCTTCAATCTGTCTTGGTTGGTTGTACTTTTCTTTTGATTCTGGTAATATCACCGCCTGGACCATCTTCACTAGGATGTTCTCAGCAAAAGGTACCATTGATTTTTATTGATTCGAAGCATCTAAACTAACTCTCGGGACTAATCTTTCAGCAGCACTTCGAAGCTGCCTTTGGCGGTCGCCGCTTTTCACCGCCAACAGTATCAGCAGCAGCAGCAGCAGCAGCTCACTCTCGAGGACATTCCCGGTCCTTGCACGCCCACTGAGCAGTGCGGCCACAAAGAGCAATCCTAAGTCTGGAGATCAGCATCAGCAGCAACAACAACAACCAGAGCAAACCAACCCGAGCCCAGCAACTGAAACAGTGCGGGAAACCACCAAGCTCAACTACGCCCACCTCGATCTGGTGAGCGAGCAGGCGCTCCAATCACCCGACTTCTTCAACGTGAAGCGCCTGGTAAAGCTGGAGGAGATGTTCGCCGCCCGCGTCCACCTCGGCCACAAGGAGGGCACGCTGAATCGCTTCATGGCCCCCTACATCTTCGGCTCCCGCCTCGGCCACCTCATCATCGACCTGGAGCAGTCGGCGGCCCTGCTGCAGGAGGCGTTGAACTTCACCGCTCACATTGCCTTCCGCAATGGGATCATCCTCTTTGTGAACAAGTCGGCGACGGTAAGCTAGGGTTCTATTTTGTTTTTCTATTTTTCTATTTCTATTTCATCATCTAACTCCAAATCTTTGTTCTATTTTCCCATTTAGACGGGCCACCTCGTCGAGCAGACGGCGATGCGCTGCGGCGAGTACAGCCACTGCCGCGACTGGCGCATCGGCACCTTCACCGACTCGACCAACTTCTTCGAGTCGGTCACTCGCCTGCCCGACCTGCTCATCTTCCTCAGCACGCTGAACAACATCTTCGAGCCGCACCCGGCCATTGCGGAGGCGGCGAAGCACATGATCCCCAGCATCGCCGTGGTGGACAGCAACGCCGACCCCTGTCTGATCACCTACCCGGTGCCGGGCA